TGGCAGCTCAGTGGCTGCTCAGCTCGGGCTGGACTCGAACCGCTGTTGCTCAGAGCTCAAACTCTTGAGCGAGCTCTTAACCAACTGAGCCACTCTGCCGGCCCTTAGAATACATGTTTTATATTGAAAGGCATATTAGAAGCAAAACCAACCTTATCATATTCACAGCCATTATTTGCTTGAAAATCTAATCAATTCCAAAGAAAAATATCTGTGTTTTAGTATACTTGAGTTTCTGATGCCCTAGAATTCTAAATGGTTTTGATTAAAACAAACAAGAATGATATAAAAGATGTTATCATGAATTAACAAGTCATTGAGTGCCACTGTATCATTTTAATTATAGTGTTTATGATGTTACAACATTGGGAAGAGAAGGAGGAAGGATCTCTGGGATCACAAAGCCAGAGGTCTCCCCTCTTGGCCAAATACTTTATTTCTTTTGTATTAGAAGCCAAAATCCCACCTCTAGGCCTCTTGATTGTCAGGAAAACTCATTGTACTTGCTTTGGTGTGACAAAGGCTGTGAATGTGAAGCTTGGTTTGTTTTCAAAAATAACAATAAAGTTAAACTAGGAGGATGCGATTGTGATACTTTTTTGGAAACTTTTTGAAATTTAAAACTATTTACCTTTCCCCACTCCCACTGCACCTTGTGTTTCAGGCTTTGCAGCATAATGAATTTTTGGGACAGAACTTCTGCCCGGGACTCAATGTAACAGCAAACAATACCTGTAGCTTTGCAATGTAAGTGTGCACTCAGTGTCCTAAAGGGTTTGCTTACTGTGTGGTGTGATGTAGAACGGCCACTGGGCTCAGAGCTGGGGTGAGTCCTTTCAGGACCGTGACTTTTGTGAGCCTTTGTTTTCTTATCTGTAAAGCAAGTTGTTTATTAATGCATGTGAAAGTGCTGTACAATTTGTAGGTATTCTACTATGGTCAAATTGTATTTATGATGGAGAAATGGTTCTTATGTGTTGTTTTGGACTCTTTAAAAGTTCCTTTTGCTGTTTTGATTGTGGGTGTGAGTTAGATTTTCAGAACATTAGAGTTTGAAATGAGCTGCTTTGGTATCTTAGCAAGGCCTTGCAGTATCTGCACTGTGTGGATTATTTGACGTGAATGGATCCGTAAACTATGGCTTCCTGTGAGCCCAACCCACTGTCCGTAGTAAGATCTAGAAGGGCAGCAGAAGCGGAAAGGGAGTGAACCTTTTCCTGCCAGTCCTGGCACGTGCGCCTTCTTCCTCCATTTATGAGACTTCATGAAATCAAACTGCACAGTTTTATATTTTTAAACTGACTTGGAATACTACCTATTGAAGGATGTATCCTCTAGAGAAAGAAACACATATTTCAGTAAGCCGAGAAGGAAATCTCATTTTTTTTTTTAAGCAATGAAGTATCAAACCAAATGAGGTTTTAATAAAATTAGAGGATTTTTTTTTTTTTTTAAGCTGAGCCATCCTGGCAGCTCAGCTGGGACCGGGACTCTAACTGCTGTTGCTCAGAGCTTGCACTCTTGAGCGAGCTCTTAACCAACTGAGCCATTTAGCCGGCCCTAGAGGATGTTGTTTTAAAAATTAAATAACACTTTCCTTTTCGGTAATTATTCTTAATGGTTTGATTTTGATACTGTAATTAATGAGAGGAAAGAGAATGCTGGTATTCTAAATCTCATGACCATTCCAGTAGAACAGAAGTAATTTTGAATAATAGCACAAATTGCTATTTTGAAGTAGAGTTGATTCTTGAACAACACATATTTAATCTCTTATACGTAGATATTTTTCAGGAAATACTGTAAATGTGTTTTCTCTTCTTTATGATTTTTAAAATAACATTCTATCTTTATTGTAGGAATACAGTATATAATAGAGATAACCTACAAAATATGTATCAATCAACTGCTTATGTTATGTGTAAGGCTTCCAGTCAACAATATGCTATTAGTAGTTAAATTAAGGGGGAGTCAGAAGTTATAAGTGGATTTTCATCTGTGGGGAGTGTCAGTTCCCCTAACCTCCCCTCCCTGTGTTGTTCAAGGGTCCATGTATTTCCAAAACCTGTATGAAGAGAAGTTTTCTTTATTCTGCCCACTCACGCTCTTTTGATCTGGGTATGACATTATTTTGGAACTAGTAAATTCGAGAGTCATACAAAAATGGTACCAGTTAATAGTTGTGTCTGTGCAAGGTATTTTTAGTACCCAGTGCTTGTCTCACCTATGGCAGGGTACTCCATCCTGCTGTCCTCCAGCTACAAGGCCTACACCTGATAACTGGGCTGCTGGTGAGGTCTTGTAGCCAAGCATCTGAGATGCTCACTCCACTCTTGGTAAAAGATCTGACCAAGTACAACTGTGGCAGGAAGCCCTTCCTCACCTTTCTCCTAGCTTTGGAATTCTGAGCCTGCCTTTGTTGTATGGGTGGTTTGTGGGTAATGAGTTCTATAAAGAAGCTTTGATCATCTTTGTAAAGGCCTTAGAGGTCACCTGTTAAAGCTGAGGTTTTCCACATCAGGAGTAAGTGAAAAATTACCTGATAAATGTTTCTGCCCTTTGAAGAGAGGAGCAGCATCATAGATTTGGATACAAATGAATCTGGAGAGGCGACTTACTTCAAATGTGAGTCTGTGAACTTGACTAAGTTCCTTGAACCTTAGACTCCTCATATCTTAAATGTGTATAATATCTACCCCATCGGGGTGTTTTAGGAATTAACTAAAGTGTTATGTGCAGGTTGCTTAGTGTGATATCTAGGAGAATTGTAAGCACTCATTGTTACCAATTTTATATGAAGGGATAGTTATTTTAGGCTTGATAACCTATAGGCTTCTTTAATGAAAGAACAATGAATATATTGAGTAACATTGGACAGATGATAAGATTGAAGTCATATTCTGTTTCTGTTGAATTTCAGATGTACTGGCGAGGAATTCTTGATAAACCAGGGCATTGACCTTTCACCTTGGGGCCTGTGGAGGAATCACGTGGCCTTGGCATGCATGACTGTTATCTTCCTTACAATCGCCTACCTAAAGTTGTTATTTCTTAAAAAATTTTCTTAAATTCCTCTCTAATTTACATGATTTATCTACACATTAAAACGGAGCACCTGGATTTAAGTATTCACTGAAGTATTTTGTTGTCTTCTTTTCATTTACCATCATACTATTGTGTGGCCAGAATTATTTTCAACAGAAACTTGCATAGAAATCACATGAACTGAATTATACTGGAAAAAGCCCAAGTCATAAACTAGTGATTCTGTGTACTGCTTATTATTCGTCTAGTCAGACAGCAGCCACAAGGGAGAAATCTAGTTTAATTTGTTGACTTAAAAAAGAATTGAATTCTAGAAACTCATGACAAGTTTCTAACATCTCTGGTATGAGCTTCCTCAACTTTAAAATGAATACGGGGGTTAGTTGTCCTCTAGCTTCAATATTGTATGAGTTTATAATGTGCTGTTATGTAATAAGTAAGAAATAACAAATGTATTGATGCTGTAGTAGAAGTATGAAATCGGAACTATGTTGGAAAAATCCAGTGTTGTTTATAAGGTTAAAAAGCCATTATGATAGAAAAAGCTTTGATTAGCCTTGTAAGGTGAGTAGTACTTACTGAGATTCATCTATTATGGAATTAGAATATCCCAGAGGTCCTGGCTGGGACTTTGGACTACAGGTATAGANTAATTTCACTATCTACTAGCTGAGAATCATTATGAACATTTTTGTAGTGTTAAAGACTTAACAAATTGAGCAGAATGTTGACATGTCCTATGTTTCTGAAATTAGCTTTTACTTTGATATTAGGCTCTTTTTGGTGTTTCTGTAAAGTTGCATAGCTGCGTATATACTAAGCCTGCCTATAATCTATTTATTCATTATTGTATAAACATTTACTTTTAAGATAGCCTGTTTCCTAAGTTGTTGTTATACTTTCGGTGTTAAAAACACTGAGTGTCCTTTGGCCCTGTGTTTTGAGGGTTGTACAGTTGAGTTTACATTTTTCTTGTTTTGTTTTGTTTGTTTTTAGCTGAGCCATCCTGCCACCTGTTGGCAGCTCAGCGGCAGCTCAGCTCGGGCGGGGCATCAAACCGCGTTGCTCAGAGCTCAACACTTTAGCAAGCTCTTAACCAACTAAGCCACTCGACCGGCCCCAAGTTTACATTTTTTAAAACACTCTTAATTTTGTATCATTTAAATAATGTTGCACTTCATCTTTTTTTGTTTCAAATCACATCCTCAATCTCTATTAAATTGTTTGGTTACGAAGGGATTCCAGCGCTATTTCAGGGATGCTGTCATGCTTTCATAAAATTTATATTTCCATCAAAGTGTTGATAAACTGTGCTTTCCTTTTTAAACCTTAATTATTTTACTGAGAGAGAAGCACTAATAGTCATCCTTTGTGCATCTTACACATGCACAAATTAATTTTCCTTCATAAGCATGATTTGCTTTCTTTCTGAGCACATTGGAAACCTTGTTGGCGATGGGTTGTCAAAGTTTTGCTGATGATTGTGCAGTAAAAAGTTTGCAGTAAGGCATCGTCGGGGGTTTGCCTCCACTGTCTTTCATTTTGCCTCCTTATGTCTTAGTTTCTTGACTCAACTTTGAAAAAGTGGTTAATAAATCTTTTTAATCTTTGCAGGCTTTATTTGGCTGTTTCTTTGTTCATACATTAGGACTGGTACTTGGTGTTTTTGTTACTTAAAACTCAAGGTGATGGTATTTTTATCNAGGTGAGTAGTACTTACTGAGATTCATCTATTATGGAATTAGAATATCCCAGAGGTCCTGGCTGGGACTTTGGACTACAGGTATAGAGAGCCAGGAATGTTTAAATTAAAAAAAAAAAGAAAAATTATTACAGTAAAACACACCTTTAAAATACACCTTCTCTCAACTGTAGCTCTCACCCGACTGATTGCACCATATTATTTGATCACACCGCATATATATTGACACCATTAGCCGTAGACTGGCCCCTGAGTCCCACAGCCAATACTTTGCTGCTCAGTCTCACTTGTCATCTCGGTAAGAGATCCTCTCTTCTATCCCAGATCACGTCCACTGGACACCGTGAGCTCATTGGCTCATCCTCTTCAGTGAGGGTGGTGCCGCCTGCCTGATGGAAACCTCGTTGTTGTTCAGGGAAATGCAAGGCTTGGGCGCCATTCCCATTTCCCGTCATGAGTTCCACCCTGGCTGCCGGTGCTCCAGAAACTGCATTCCTTGAATGGAAGCAGGGCACTGGTGGTGTGGGAGAGCTTAGGTGTATAAAGTAACAAATGTGATTTTAAATGATCAACTCAAAGAAGTAAAGAAGCTGCACATAGAAAACAATTTCTCCCAAATCTGACAGACTTCCAGCCTGGAACAAAGCTGACTTGGACAGGACAGGCAGTTTCCTACTGTTAGGCCTCTGAATGTTAGGCCTCAGAGACCTTGACTTACAGACAGAGCTATGTCTGCAAGAAAACAAAACGTCTGTTGGCCTGCACCTGCAGACAGAGCCAAACTTGCGATAACAGAAAACGCCACAACACAGCTACTGGCTTACAGGCTGTCAGCATTCTGTTCAAACAATGCTACCCTGTCAGCACTGCCCCTATGTAACCCTCCTCACCCCCTCCCTTGGGGCTGCAAGTGTCCTTTAGACATGCAGTCCGGGCTGTAGCCATTTTTGCTCAGCCCAATAGACTCTTTTAATAAAATAGACTTTCTTAAACTTTCTTAGCCTGCCTGACCGTGCACGTTCCTTTACTGGCTGAACTATCACCTACCACTGACCCATGTGTTAGAGTTCTTCATTTATATAAGAGCTTAATTTCTTTAAGTCAAAGAAACAGAGCTCTTTTTATCCAATTCTGGAGAATGTGCCCCAAAACACTACATTCAGGGATTGAATTTGAGTTTTCCATAGCCAGCACATTTATATATAAGACAAACAAGGACACACAAACAACAAAACCCAACTCCTGGAGGACATCCTGCAAGCTCTATCCCACTGAAAACACTATCAGTGACCCAGGGTTCCCTGATGACCAGACCAGACCAGAGATTGTCACCCGAGGATGTCTTGGATTGCCCCTCAGGCATTCCTCAGCCTTTCAGAGTTAGACCTAGGTCAGGTCCTGAATCCAGCATCTGGGAGACAGTTCCTGCCCCGCCAAACTGTAACCAAGCACACACTGGAAATGAAACTATCCTTCCAACAACCCTCTACCCAAAACGGGAATAGAAACTAATTAAAGTGACCTCAAGGACTGACCTACCTGCCCCCCTTTCGAAGTACTGAATGAAATAGGTTCAGGTGGCCACTTAGTTTCGCTGTCAAGGTGGGCCGGGCAGCTGTTGTGGTGGTCAGTACCAAGCGGGACTCTCCTACAGAAGAGACCCCCAGTGCAGTGGAGACGCAGGTGAGTAAACCCCGTGAGCTGCTGCTGCAGACTGCTTCACCAAGCACCCACACCAGGCAGATAGGGACTCCTTTTAGGAGAGTCCCAAGTCTGAGTTGACAACTGTGTTACTGAACTCTAGAGCTTCACCACTTGGGGTGTTCTATTCAAGAACGAGATGTGGTGGTCGTTAGGTAGTTTTACTAACTTTCAGCAAGCAGAGGAGACAGGGGATTCACATCTAAAGTTCTGTTTCCCCAAAGGGAGACTTAACCATTGCTTATATGCACTATTTGGTCAAGTACACATCAATTTCTTCTTTGCAGTTGGCTGCACTTACCTGGTTGGGTTCCTGTTAAACTCATCCTGTTTACAGCTGGCCTGCAAAATACTGTGCTACGTCTTAACAGCAAGAATAGCATTTAGTAAGAATGGCCCAAACCATGTGACCCTTGTTCTAGCTGTTGGGTTGTCAGAAAAGTCATCACGCATTTTTGCAACGAAAAACATAGAAAAAATACATCATGACTTTGCTGACAACCCAATAACAGAATGAACTGAAGACATGCTCCAAAATGGAGGGCATAGGCCAGGGTTTATTATGTAAATATGGCAAGCAGTTAACTAGAGATGGTTTTCTAGGGGAAATGAGACCATAAACTTACATCATTTGTTCTCTGATTGGTGGGGGTAGCTGGGCTTTCAATGATCAGCTGCCTCAGTGGTCAAGTAAGCAGGGTTTTGAGATGAGAATGATGGGTAATATGTGATTACCCATTTATCATCATTCTAGTTTCAGCCCAGGCCTGCAGAACAAAAAATCTATTTGATCACACAGTTAAGTACAGGGGTTATTATTTAACAACAATGCAAGGAGTACAATTTATCAAATAGTACAATCAGCACAAGGGGGGCTGCTCACTCTTTGGGCAGTTTTGGAGCCCCAAAGGGCACGGTTATGCTCTGTAAGCAGCTTTAGAGCTCAAGCTGAAAAAAATGCAAATATTGAGTCACAAATTATAATATTAAAGCTCTTTTAAGTCCTCACCAGTTATGTGTCTTTTTACAATTAATGAAACCAACCAGTAAGTTCAAATGACATTCCATCAGTCTATTGCTTATGAACAAATTGTCACTTAAAACAAACCAGATGATAGAAAACCTAGTTTATAATTCTATATTTCCTATAAGCTCTTCAAAGTGTTTCTAGATTGCTTAAGCTTTAAAAGCAACAAAACTTCTCAAGAGACAAATGGATAAAAAAGAGGCTTGCTCTGATATTCAGAGTTGGAGATGGTGGCAACATTTGAGTCTCATCGGAAACTTCCATGCTCTTCATATTATATGATCTCATTATGGAAGAATTAAACTAGAAAACAACTAGTGTTAGAAATGCAGTGTTTTTGAGTACCCTTCTTATGCTAGGGTTAGCCAAAAGATTTGTTTTAAAAATAGGGATAGCATTGAAGAGAGATTCTTATTGTGCTGTTACTGCTTTCAGTTCATTACTTTGTTTTTGGAGTCCATGAGTCATACATGTGTAGAACACCCATTTTTAATAAATATTGAAACTGTATTGGTTTACATAGTTGAATAATTACTGGAGGGTTGGGGAGGTTATACTTTGAAAAGTACAGATTTTACTCTTTCTGTTGCCATTCAAATCCGCCATTATTTTTCTTTTAATATGCTGACCTGCAACACAGGGGGAAAGAGAGAGCTGG